CGGCTCAGGAAGCCGAGGATGCACTTGACGAATTCCAGGTTGAAGAGGCAAGCATCACCGGCAAGCGCAAGGTGAGCGAGCTCATAGTGTCATCCCTTAGGTCTCTGAAAAATCTGGTCATCCCTGATAGAGATGTGAAAGGCTGGAGCAAGTAGTAAAAACCCTTACCCAGCTCTGTGCAACCTCGAACACTTTTCTTGAGCTCCTCAAATTGGATGATTACAAAGCAAACCAGCAGCAGGCAAGAGTTGCTGGAGAGGCCACCTCTCAGCTTCCCATAGACGTCCAGGTGTTTGGCCGGGAAGAGAACAGAGTTTATCCTGCAGATGATTATTGGATCATCATCACATGATCATGAAAGATCCAGCGGTGGAACTGGAAAAACAAGAGCAGCTAGGGACAACATTATAGTTCTCCCAATAGTCGGTATGAGTGGAGTCGGAAAGACAACACTGGCCCAGGTTGTCTACAATCATGCAGAGGTGAAGAAACACTTTCAGCGGAGAGCTTGGGTCTATGTTTCAGAGCATTTCAGCTTCAAAAGAACCTTGCAAGAGATTCTGTTTTCCTTCAATGGATATGAGGACAATGGTTTGGATAGGTGTGATAGCATGGAAGCCACCATCACAAAGCTCCGTAGCAAGATCTGTGAAGGATATAAATTCGTTCTGGTGCTAGACAATGTATGGGAAGATATACGCCAACAATGGAGCACCCTACTCACTGTATTATCTGACGAGGCACGTCAATGTGGCAGTGTTCTCCTTGTCACAACTCAGAACCAAAAGGTTGGACAAACAATCGCCAGAGTACGTCCCATACAATTGAAAGCTTTGCCATGGGAGAGCTTCTGGCCTCTCTTTCAGTACTACGCATTTGGGGGCACTGAAGTTGCCCAACAAGAAGACAACCGCAACATGTTATCTATTAGTAGAGAAATTGCAATGAAGCTAGATGGACTTCCATTAGCGGCGAAAGTAATAGGAAACCTGCTGAGATGTAGATTCTCCCAGACTAACTGGAGAAGGGTTGTGGACAGTGACTGGTGGAACTTGAGTGATGCTCTGCAGGAAATTCTACCCTACCTCAGGGTCAGTTACCAGCACCTATCACCACAACAAAGGCAGTGCTTTGCCTTCTGTTCGATATTTCCTAGAAACTACCTGTTTGACAAGGAAAGGATTGTTCAAATGTGGATTGCTCATGATTTCATACAGCGAAACAACATTGCAGATGGTATAAAGCCAGAAGATGTTGGGAGGCAATGCTTCGATGCGCTCGTGGACAGGTCCTTGTTCCAACCCACAATTGTCGACAACAAGTATGTCATGCATGATTTGGTGCGTGGTTTAGCAATTGCCATTTCTGTGGACCAATGCTTCCTCCATGATGAAAGAGCAGTGGGAGCTTCTTCCCAAGCACTGGAAAATGTTCGTCACTTGTCCTTGCAGACTGGTAGCTTGGAGCAGTGCCAGGAGCTGCACAAGTACAAAAATCTGCGGACTCTCCTACTATTTGGTCGTTTTGAAAGTGATGCATTTTTCCCCTTCTTGATGGCATGCTAAAGAATTCACCAAGCCTCCGTGTGCTGGACTTGTCATATGTCGAAGCTCTAGGGAGCGGATGGCCCAATAATGCTAGGAGTTTGAGAAAATTACGGTTCCTAGATGTGTCATTTACAAGGATCACAAAGTTTAAGGATCTCCCAGTTAATCTCCAAGTTTTGCATCTTCAGGGATATGATGTTGACAGCTTACCACAAAATATCACCAAGCTGAGCAACCTGCGACATCTGTTTGTAGATAATTCAGCACTCTCAAATATTCCAGGGATCGGACAGCTCACTGAACTTCAAGGACTGGATAGTTTCATCGCTCGAAAGGGGCAAGGATTCACGATAAGAGAGTTGAAGAACATGCAGGAGCTCACTGGACAACTATGCATTCGCGGCCTTGAGAACGTGAGAAGTAAGGACTAAGGAGGAGGCGATAGAAGCAAGAATGATGGACAAGAAGCACCTGTGCAGCCTGGTGATTGAAGGGAGAAAGGTGCCCAAGTTTGTTCTTGAAGGATTGCAGCCACACCGAAACATACAGGAACTAACCATCAAATTCTATCAGGACCAAAATTTTCCTCACTGGGTGCTGCAGCTGGATAACCTGGCCAATCTCGTACATGTAAATCTTGAAAGCTGCCGCAGCTTGTCTACCCTTCCCCCACTAGGCCATCTCCCTTTGCTCAAACTTTTCAGTCTAAGAAAGCTACCGTCGGTAAAGCATATTGATGGCACATCCTTTGGTGGTTTCCCATCACTTGAAGAGTTGAAGTTTCATTGGTTAGAGAAATGGGAGGATTGGACAGAGCTAGACGAAGCAACAGCGGCAGCTCATGTTTATGGATCATCATTGTTCCTTGGATGCCTTAAGAAACTTCATCTAGTAAACTGCTTATCACTGAGACAATTCCCACGGCTGCCACACTTATCTGCATTGAAAAAGCTGAAGATCTCCAACCCTGGAAACTACATCCTAGAATTACCAAACTGTTTACAAGTCTTGGCGTGCCTAACAACCTTGAATATCGAGTACTGCCAACACAGCATTGTACTGTCCGCGCATCATTTCAAGTCCCTGGAAAATCTTGAGCTCATAAAATGTGAAGGACTACGTTTGGTTGATGGTTTCCAGTGCTTTTGCAAACTGCAAAGCGCACGAGTGGAGGGTTGTCCTCAACTCCTAAGTGACACTGCTTCCTCTGTCTCAGCTAACCTTGGGCAAAATTTGCATGAGAAGCAGCAGCAGCAGGGTGCCAAACTTCTAACCCACCTCAGAACTGATGATAGCTTGATGAATGGAGATTACTTCAGGATGATAGGAAACCTCTCATCACTTTGCAAACTGACAATGTACAACATACCCAACACCACACATTTCTCAGAGGGGCAAGACCTGTGGTTTCAGCAACTGACCTCACTGAAGTGCTTCCACATTCATGGCAGCCTCACATTGCAACACCTCCCTTCTTTCTTGGCTGTGTTGCCATCCATCGAGGAACTAGAACTTCTTGGTTTGCACAACCTACACTCATTGCCGGATGCTCTTCCTCCAAAGCTTCAGAAGTTGGCAATTGAAAACTGTACTGGAGATCTGATTATTAGGGTATCCAAAGATGGGTCGGATTGGCCAAAGGTTGTCCATGTTCCATACATCTTCGTAGATGGTACAGTGGTTCAAAACATATAGACTTTGTACTGTATTTATCAGGTATGGCCAAAATAACAGAAATAGTATTCTGCAATCCAGTCCGCATGTTTATTTCTAAGCCGTAAGTTTTCTTGAAGAGTTCAATTATACCCTTGTAGAAAACGGACACATATAGCTTACTGGAGCCCTTTGTTAAATATGACAGTCACAGTTATCCCTGACGATACAACATCTTGCAATCAAACCAGCAATCTTTTGGGTGACTTTACATAGTTGAGTCCTAATGATAGTTTGCATATAAATCTCGAAAATATGATAATGTTTCTTGAGGAAAGCACAGATCAATCTCAAAAAATCAACCTACCTTCATGTCTTGACCACAAGAAAAACAGGATGAGATGCATGGCCATTCCTCTTATGAGATATCAACTCATGTAACTGCAAAGCCAGCTTCAAGTTCTTCAGTTGATTCATTATCTTGTGGAGCCCATGATCCTTTGTTCTGACCTACAGACGTGTGGTGTTGTACCTGCAGGCCTTTTGCACCTCCTTGCATACTACAGATAAAAGGGCCATACTGAAATCCGTGATCCAAAATGTATACATGGCACAGGGAATATGTGTGAAATTTTATTTGACCAACTAGTGAATATGATAGTCACCTGTATGTACTAGATCAAACCCTTCTCTGTAGCATATAAACTGCATGAAGGTGTCAACAAGACAACGAAACGCTGCCACTTCTGCAGGGAATAGTATGTTTTAGTTACGACAAATGGACTCGTTAGTTCAAGCATCAGGGATGGTACCACTTGCGTGATTATAGAGAAGAAGACGGTGTCCTGACCACAAGAGCGGTTTAATTATTTGCACTCATCATTGAGAAATGTTATCGAGAGATGTTTTGGTGTCCCGTTTTCCTATTCTCAGGGACATGCCCTATTTCTAGTGGAAGCTGAAGTACATTGCACCATTAGTTTGAGTGAAAATACAATTGAACCCATCGAGTCTATACAAACACAACTTGGGTATCATGTGCACAGGCACAGCCATAGCGACGGTACCATGTAGAGGACGCCGCGAGCTCCGCGGGGTGAATTCGCCGTTAGGGTCAGGACGGGAGTTACTTGACTCGGCGGCCGGCGCAGCGAAGCGGGAGTCGTGGTAGACCGGCACCTCTGTTTCCAGACGCAAATCCACCGCTGCGCTGCGCAACCCGGGGCCCTGACCGCAGCGGAAAGTTGGGCCGTTTGCATAGAAGATTTGCCCGGATCTGTTTGGATGGCAGTGTGGTAAAGCTGGCGAGCGCCAACATTAGATTTCGAGTGCAACACCTAGACGTTAGATTTCGAGTGCTTAGGCGTTCCTAGAGTCAAAATCGGACGCCTGAGAGCTGTGCGTACCCCAAGCAGCAGCAATTCAAACAGCGCGGAGGAGTCAAAATCGGAGCTGTGCCTCGCCCAAGCAGCAATTCAAACAGGCGGGGAGGAGTGCGTGCAACAGCCGACAGGACAGACGGTGCCACAGGGCAGACTGAGAAATACCGCAGCTTGGAACTTAACACTGTCAAGATGCTAAGCAATAATCTTGATCGATTCCGTTCCATGAGAACTTGAGAAACAAAGACAATATTGCTACATGGACGTATTACATCTGACGGGAACCAAGGTTACGTCAGTACTTGAAAAAACCAATTATTAGCTTTGACCCTGACGAAATATTTTGAGTATATAAGCATAATTCTGTTACAGGTCACTGTTTTGCCGTCTGTATGACTGTCTTGCTAGTACGGAAAGCCTAGTAAGTTCTAGCAGACTCCGCAGAATCTGAAAGCAGAGGGTGATAATAACAATCCCTGTTTTTACGTGAACCAGTCAGTAGATTAGTGAGATTGGCTCTCGCCGACTCCAGATTTCCAGAAGCTTGGATAGATCCATTGCTCTGCTCGATCTGCTGAAGTATGTTAATGGCGCTTGGCTGATACAGGTTCTTGAAGTATCTGAAAGCCACCACCGGTCCCATTCCTACTGCAACCGTCAGCTGGGAGGGACAAGATGTTTCCATCATTCGGTGGACAGTGGAATGAATAAGGGTCAGGCCAAAGCTGTAGTTGTCACGGTATAAAGTATGGTTAGACAATAGTCGGACTTACAGCCATGGAGATCCAGTATGAAGGTTGGCTACACAGGTGGAACATGATTGTGTACAGTTGAAGACTTGGGATGGCACTGAGTATTAAATTGATCATGTAGAAGGCCACAAAGTTTCCCCAGATGAGAAGGATTTGCGGGTAAGTGAATGAGCTGAAGACCCAGAAGACAATGTCAGTCTAGACACATGTGGACCAAATAAGCTGAAGGAAATAGAACAGTAACATTTCATCTACATGAATGAATAAATTATTTCTACTGTATCCGTTGCAACCTGATGAAAACTTACTTTGTATCCATTGTAACAACAAAAGCCTGTAACCAAATACATCCGGACAGTGCTACCATTGAGAGTTCCTGCATCTCACTTTTCTCATCTGAGTAGGCACATATAGTAATGAAGAAAACGACGAGTGCCTGAAATTGAACAATAACAGTTTCATGAAAGAGAATAAAAATCAAAATGCATCTACAGGCCTATGCAGTGGAAGGCACAAATGAGGTCATTCAAATTCATATCTCACATACAGCAAGATTAAAAGATCAAATTATAATTTGCACTAGACACAGTGATGAAGCAACCGTGTACACAGCATATACTTATAATACTATATATCTACCCATAAGTGAATCTGCATGCCCATGTCTATCAGAGAACAAAAGTTGTAAAGTAAGAAGGTAATCAATCATTAGACAAGTAATGTGCGCATCAGATATTGCACTAATTGCTACCAGAACAAGATACTTGAACGGAATAACTCCCTGATCACCTTCAATAATCCCAAAGTTGCACCTCACTAAGATGTGCGATGTGCCAATTACAGATAAAAAATAACAAAGGAACAGAGAAATGCATTATCTTACGTGATATAGTGAGCACCCAAACCATCCACAAAATGTAGTGGGATTTAAAAGCCTGGCAAGATGACGGAACTACTCATATGAGCAAAACTTAAGAACACAAGCTTTATGGTATGTTTACAAGAAGTTACCACAAATATCAAAGGCAACTAAAGGTAAAATTATATTACCTCCCAGCTTGAGAATGCAGTAAAATCTGGGGGTACTGCATAACTGTTGTTTCAGAGATATCCTTGTCAAAGATTATAGTCATCACGGGTAGACTTGTATAGAAAACGTTATAAGCCATCAAGCTAATTGAGTTGAATAAGCTAGTCCCAGATAGCCCCGACAAAAAGGCAAACCTAACAGGGGATTCAAGTGAGCAGTTGTACCCACAAAACCCATGCCAAAGTGCCAAGCAGTAGCATAAGCTTGTAATGAAAAATGCAGCCAATGGCACAAGCATTAGAAGGAATAGACTCACAGAATCTGTATAAAGCATATAAGAAGTGACTTGTAGAAGGAGTACTGTGAAATAAATGCTGTTCGGTTGTATGAATAGCGCCCATGAATTAGTATCAACCTCTTAAGAAACTTGAACTCTGCAAAAAGAGAATGATACATAATAAAATTTGGAGGTGAAGTGCATAAAGGGTAATAAAATAAAAGGATAATCGCAACCATTTTCATCTTGCAAATGGTACCCTTTTTGGATGGATAAGCAAGATTGAAATCACTAATGCATCGAGAATGGACAAAAAAGAAGTCTGCACTTGTTTGAAGCTGGTTAATATGCTATTTCTGTACCAGCTAGCAAAACCATTAAATCAGGTTTCTAGATATTTGGAAGTAAATAGAATTTATCTGTGCCAACTAGAAGTGTGCTTACTCCCAATGCTATAATCAGCAGCTCTTGCAGCTTGCAGTCCTTCCCTACCACTAATCCCTACTCCAATGTTAGCCTCTTGAATCATTCTAACATCGTTACCACCATCGCCAATTGCTAGAGTTAGGTAGCCAGCCGATTTTAGGATAGCAACAAGCTGCACAAATGCAAACAACATAATTTTATCCAACCAACAGCTATATAACAATACCATATGTCATGTTTCAAGATAGATCAAAAGAAAGAGACAAAGGTCCATTACAAGACTATCTGTACTTCTGAACAGAATATATTAAGCTGCATGCACAATACTCAACCTAGCGGTCTCCCGTACATTATTTTCTCTGTAACAGGCCATCCAATATCTTGGTACAAAACCATGATCTATGCAGATTGATGACCATTCACTTGTTAAGGATTGATGTACAGGTCAAATGGTAGATTAAAAAACGATGATAAACAACAAAAGGTAAACCTGTGCTTTCTGCAAAGGTGTCATCCGACAGCATATTGCTGTTTTTGACAGCATCGCCAACCTAGTAAAAGACTCCTTGGAATGCTTTAAAATTATTTCGAGTGCCCAACCATCCAAAACAAATGCAAGGTCCTGCATAAGCATATTAAGAGGAGGCACTCAACTCAAGCTTAACAAACAAAGAATCCAACATCTAGAATCGAACATAGTCTCAGTTTCTTTGTTTGCTCAAGAGGAACATTCTAAAAAATACGATACAAATATGGTTCAGATAGTTCAAACAGAATACAGGACAGGGAAAAATCCTCTAGAGCCTACAAATAGGAAAGGGAAGTATGTTCGATGCAAAGCATCATTTCTGCATCTGACTGACTCGTGCTAAAGCTGAATATCCATTCTGAAAAGCAGAAAGGGATGATAAATACTTGTTGAAGTTCTAATTACTTGAATCCAATATATATACCTTTGTTTCGGATGTATTCTTCATAATTAATAATGCCCTCTCCAGGCTTCTTAGTATGACCTCCTCAGTTTTCCCACTGATAGACAACAATTGACTATTGGGCTCTGAAGGAGTGAGATATTAAGTGATGATCTCACTAACAGGTCGATAAATATAAAAAAAAAATTACCAAATAGTTAACATCAAGTAGTAAAACCATGTAGCAGACCAAAACAGCTCATGCGAAGAACATAACTTCATGACTAGAAAGATATCAGATGCATTAGTGCTTATATATCACAAAATAGGTCTGTGTGTGGTCCCACAATAAAAAACAATAAAATGAAATATGCACAGCTGTTACATGAGTTTCTTCAGAACCACCATGTCACAAAGGCCTTGCAGAGCTGGAGTGATAAGAATGTCGGCCATGTTAATTCCCAACTTGCCCTAGCGCGAGAAGTTCTACATCAGCTCGAAACTGCCAATGACCGACGTGCTCTTTCACCACAAGAAGTATGGCTCAAAAATAACCTCAAGAAGCATACTCTTGCCCTGGCCTCTCTCAAGCGGACAATCGCCCGGTCACGCTCTCGCATTGGGTGGTTACGTGATGGAGATGCCAACACGAGGCTCTTTCATTTACATTCGCGTCATGGCAAGCGGAAGAACTTTATTGGCAGGTTAATCTCAGAAAATCATATCTATACAGCACATGAGGACAAGGCATGAGTTGTGGACGATTTCTATGATAAATTGCTTGGTACAAGTGAACCTAGAGAACATACCATCAATCTGCTTGAGTTGGGGATTCCTACACATACACATAACCTTGCTGATCTTGATTCACCTTTCACGGAGGAAGAAGTGTGGCTGACAATCAAGCAACTACCCTTGGATAAAGCACCGGGTCCAGATGGGTTCACAGGGCGTTTCTACAAAGCTTGCTGGTCGATAATAAAAAATGACATTATGGTGGCTATCTCTGCTGTTTGGAGTAGGAGGCTGAGGGGTCTCGGCCCTCTTAACACTGCATATATCACGCTGATTCCGAAAAAAGAAGATGCTGAACAGCCCAAGGATTTTAGGCCAATAAGCCTAGTACACAGCTTTGCCAAGCTCATAACCAAATTATTGGCTAATCGATTGGCAGGTCAGTTAAACCAAATGGTATCTCCTAATCAAAGTGCCTTCATCAAAGGGCGCTTCATACAAGATAATTTCATGTTAGTACAGCAGACGGCACGATTTCTGCATCAACAAAAACAGCCCCGTATTTTGCTGAAACTTGACATTTCAAAGGCTTTTGATTCGGTTGCTTGGCCCTTCTTACTTGAGGTCATGGAACACTTGGGTTTCAGACAAATATGGAGGGATATCATCAGTGGGCTACTATGCTCTTCCTCTACTCAAGTGCTTTTGAATGGGATCCCCGGTGAGCGAATAACCCATCGACGAGGATTGAGACAAGGTGACCCCCTATCTCCAATGTTATTCATTTTGGTCATGGATGTGCTGGGACATATGATTTCAAAAGCTGCTGAGCTAGGCTTGTTGCAACCATTATCAAGACGTGCTTTGCAACATCGCATCTCAATGTATGCGGATGACGTGGTTTTATTTCTTCATCCAAATGCCGCTGATATTGCTGTCACTATGGACATTCTTCACCTGTTTGGTACAGCATCTGGGCTCAAGACTAATCTACAAAAAAGTAACGTACTTCCTATCAGATGTGGTGAACAAGAGATTGAGGTTGTACAGCAGCAACTCCCTTGTGCATTATCTGTTTTTCCATGCAAATATCTGGGTTTACCCCTCTCATTGCGAAGATTAACAAAAGAGCATGTTCAGGTCATCATTGACCGAATAGCTGATCAACTACCGGGATGGAAAGCAGACTTGTTGACACGAGCTGGGAGGCGAATCCATGTGCAGTTTGTTCTTACTGCGATGCTCGTTTATCTTGTGATGGCCATTGATTTGCCTCAATGGGCCACTAAAGCGATTGACAAAATTCGAAGAAGCTATCTGTGGAGAGGGCGCAAGGAAGCACGTGGGGGGCATTGTCTCGTGGCATGGGAGACAGCCTGCTCTCCAACTGAACTAGGAGGTTTGGGCATTTCCAATCTCAAAAATCTTGGCTGGGCGTTACGCGCAACATGGCTCTGGTTACAGAAAAAGGAGCCACACCGTCCTTGGTCTGCACTGTCTATACAGGTTCTTGTTCAGGTTCAGAAGCTTTGTTCAATGGCAATTATCTCTGATGTTGGCAATGGCAAGAATACCTTGTTCTGGACTGATAGGTGGCTTCATGGGCATTGCATTAAGGATCTTGCGCCTCGACTCTTTGCTGTGATTCCGCAGAGAAAGAGAAAATTGCGTACTGTGCAGCAGGCTCTACCCAACCGGACTTGGATCTTGGACATCAAGGGTGCTCTCACAATAGGGGTCATCATGGAGTATTTTCAGCTTTGGGACCTCCTCTATGATTTTGAGTTACAACCTGAGGTGGAGGACTCTCACACATGGAAATTATCAAATGGTGGACAGTACTCCGCCAAATCCGCATATGATAGTTTTTTTGTGGGGAAAATCCTTTTCAGGCCATGGGAAAGAATTTGGAAAACTTGGGCGCCTGCTAAATGCCGCTTCTTTCTATGGCTTGTAGCGCATAAGCGCTGCTGGACCTCAGATCGTCTTGCACGACGAGGACTGCCTCATCCTGAGAAGTGTCCACTTTGTGATCAAGCCGACGAAAGCATTGATCATCTCCTAATCGAATGTGTTTTTTCAAGGCAATTTTGGTACTATATCTTGAGGCAGGTCGGTCTCCACTCTCTAGCTCCACAGCCATCTGACAATTCATTCGATGATTGGTGGGGAAAAGCAAGTGCAGCAACTTCTGGTTTAACGCAAAAAGGTTTGAACTCGCCGATATTTCTGGGAGCATGGATAATTTGGAATCATCGCAACAGCTGCGTCTTTGATGGAGCAATTCCTAACATAGCTGAAACCTTGAAGTTGGTTGGTGATGAGCGTCGACGGTGGACATTGGCAGGGGCTCGTGGGCTAACTCACTTGACTGCCCCTGCCCAAGTTGTTAGTTGATTTGTTGTAGGTGCAGGGTCGCTTTTTCTTTCTTTACCGGCGCAAATGTATCTTATGAGTTAAAGATAAGGGTGTGTGGGTGTGTGTTGTTCTATGGGTTTCTTTACCCCCTTTTTTCTTCTTAATATAATGAAGCGCAGCTCTCCTGTTTTTCGAAAAAAAAAAAAAAAAAAAAAAGATGACATCCTGGAACAACCAAACAATTACTCACCATCTATTTCATGCATAATGTCACTAAGCTAGAATGCAGAGTACAAATAAGATGGTAACTTTTTTAATTTCTTTTACTCATATATCACCAAGTTTAACAGAAGACTCTGAAAAAGTATCATCTATTTGTAACTTAGAGCTCGGCATTTGGGTACAACAGAGTAATGTCAAAGGGATGCTGTGATAGGACAAGAAATTGCAATAGACCAGTGGAGAAAACATTTGCAAAAGGCAACTCGTATTGTTAGTTGCAAATGGCCACTGGCTAAATTTAAAGGATACCAAATGTCTCGTAATAGTACAGTACCAGAGGTTATGAGGTTACAGAGAAGTCCAATCTGAATTGCTGTATTTTGCTTATCGCCAGTTAGCATCCACACATTAATTCCAGCATTCCTCAACAATTTAATGGTTTCAGGCACACCATCCTGCCAGCCAGAAGAATCTATGAGGCAAGGTAGCAAGTGTAAAATTGCTATAGGTGTTTCCACTGGTTGTTAGTCTTAGAGATAGTAATTAATGATCAAGGTATACCTGAAGACGATCCTCTACAGCAGTAACACCAAGAATATGAAGGTCTCGCTCTAAGCTGTGACAAACTTCAGCAATTTTAAACTGTATATAATGAAGTACAGTAACATTAGCCAACAGTAGAGTAAGAGTTGGTGAGATAAATGACAGAACTAATAAGGTTAAAGGAAAATGGTTAAACCAGAAAAAGTACCTCTCTATTGTCCAATGAGCAGCTAGCCTCTTGAAAGTTTTTGGACCATTCCTTATATTCACTTTCTTTTAAGTCACGCCACCCCAAACATAAGGTTCGCAATCCCAACTGAGAATACATTTCTACTGCTTCAAGATATTTCTGTATTTGTTGTCCTGTTCACAAATTAGAATAAATTGTTTTCTCAAATAAAACTGAAGCAACACAAAACATCATAGGTATATTTGTAAAAGAAAAAGGAAAATGGGTAGCCATTGAATTGTTTGGTGTAATCTCTTAAATACTGTGGTGCTAGAATGAAGCTAAAACAATAGTGCTAAGAGCAATAGAAAGCCCCTATGTTTGAAATGGAAGTAACCAACAGAAGGTGCCTAGATCCTAGAGTACAAGAGCATATGATGTCAGGACGCATCTAAAACAACAAAATAGGCTCTCTTTTTTTATCCCATGCAAGTTGGGTAGGTTACAGATGAAGCCCACCAAGAGAAAAAGTAGGATTAAAAGTAAAAAAAAAAAGGTATTGGTACGTATTGAGACATGACTCAACTAGAGGATGTTTATTGAGCCGACATTATCTTCGACCATTTTGCGTGATGCTGTGACCATTAGTCCCTCTGTTCCAAAAGTTCACTTTTTTTCCTCGAAAACGCAGGAGAGCTGTGCATCATTATATTAAGAAGAGAAAAGGGAAAGAGCCCAAACAACCCCACAAACACCAAACACACGCACGCACTCACGCCCCACGAGTTGAAGAAGTTACATTCGCGCCCGGGAAAACACACAAGGCGACCAAAAAACTGAGCTAAACACTCTAACTAACTACCGGGGAGGAGGGCAGTCAGGAATGATATAGCCCTCGAGCCCCTGTCATAGACCACAAACGGCGCTCCTCGCCGGCTAAGATCAGCGCGCCAGCGAGGTTTGGGGCTGCTCCATCAAAGACACACCAATTGCGATGGTTCCATAAAGCCCAAGCTCCGAGCATAACGAGAGAATTAATTCCTTGCCTCATCAACCCACCAGCAGTGCTGCTAGCTTTCTCCCACCAAGCATGGAAGGATAAGTCTGTAGGCTGAGGGGACAAGGCCTGACGACCAACTTGTCTGAATAGATTGAACCAAAAGACTCTTGCGAACACACAATGGACAAGGAGGTTGTCGATAGTTTCCTCTTCTTGGTCACAAAGGGGGCAGAACTCCGGATGAGGTAGCCCACGGCGTGCTAGACGATCAGCCGTCCAACACTTGTTGTGAGCGACCAGCCACACAAAGAAGCGGCATTTGGGCGGCGCCCATGATTTCCATATCCTTTCCCACAGGCCAAAAAGAGTAGAACCTAAGAAGAAACCTTCATATGCCAATTTAGCTGAGTATTGTCCATTAGAAGAGAGCCTCCATATGTGTTTATCCTCAACTTCCGGTTGCAGCTGAAAATTCAGCAATATATCCCATAAATAAAGGTTGTCAACAATCACACCAACTGTGAGAGCTCCTTGTATGTCCGAAATCCACGCCCGGTTAGTGAGGGCGTCCCGGACAGTGCGCCGCTTAACCCACCTTTTAGGAATAGCCGCGACAAGTCGAGGCGCAAGGTCTGCAATGCATTGCCCATGGATCCACCGATCTGTCCAGAAAAGGGTATTTGCACCATCTCCAATTCCAGAAATTACTGCCACTGAGAAGAAGGCTCTCACTTGCTCAGGCACATGGAATGGGAGAGCAGCCCAAGGACGATGAGGCTCTGTTTTCTGCAGCCAAACCCATCTCATGAGGAGGGACCAGCCAAGAGTTTTGAGATCTGAAATTCCCAGGCCTCCAAGCTCCGGTGGGCGACAAACTTTGACCCAAGCCACAAGACAATGTCCACATTTTGCATCTTTACGACCCCTCCAAAGAAAACTACGCCGAATTTTGTCCACTGCTTTGATAGCCCATGGAGGAAAATCAAAGGCCATAGCCAAGTAAATGATCATTCCAGTGAGAACTGATTGTACTTGTACTCTTCTTCTAGCCCTTGTCATTAGGTCTGCCTTCCAGCCTGGAAATTGATCTGCAATGCGGTCGATAATGGGCTGCACTTGTTCTTTAGTTAGTTTTCTAAGAGAGAGGGGCACACCCAAGTATTTGCACGGGAAATCAGAGAGTGGGCAGGGCAGCAAGTTCTGTATAGCAGCAAGCTCCAACTCACCACATCTGATTGGCAGCACATTACTTTTCTGCAGATTTGTCTTGAGCCCAGAAGCCTCTCCGAAAAGATTAAGGATATCCATAATTGTAGAGATATCCCCGGCCTCCGGGTGGAGAAAGAGAGCCACATCATCAGCATAAATAGAAATACGGTGCTGCAAGGCTCTTGTTGACAGGGGCAGCAACAAGCCTTCATTGGCGGCTTTAGTAATCATGTGCCCCAACACATCCATCACCAAGATGAAGTGCATGGGGGAAAGGGGATCACCTTGCCGTAATCCTCGCTGGTGGCGGATATGATCACCGGGCACCCCATTTACAAGAACTTGGGTTGATGACGAGGAGAACAGTCCACTGATGATATCTCTCCATAATCGCCCAAAACCAAGCTGCTGCAATACCTCCAGAAGAAAAGGCCATGACACGGAATCAAAGGCCTTTGATATATCTAACTTGAGAAGAATCCGAGGTTGCTTTTGTTGATGAAGGAACCTTGCCGTCTGCTGAACCATCATGAAATTATCCTGTATGAATCGCCCTTTTATGAAGGTGCTCTGAATAGGAGAGACTATTTGCTGTAGCCGAACAGTGAGACGGTTTGCTAGCATTTTTGTGATTAACTTGGCGAAGCTATGAACCAGACTTATGGGTCGGAAATCTTTAGGCTGATCAGCACCATCCCTTTTTAGGGAGAAGAGTGATATATGCCGAGTTGAGAACGCCAAAATTCACAAACTTTCTGTTCCAAACTGCTGAAACTGCCGCCATAATTTCATCCTTTATGATGGGCCAGCAAGCCTTATAAAAACGTCCCATGAAGCTGTCTGGCCCGGGAGCTTTATCTGAGGGTAAATTTTTAATTGTATTCCACACTTCTTCTTCACTAAAAGGGAGCTCGAGATCAGCTAGGTCATGTGTATTGATTCCCAACTCAGTTAAATTAATAGTGTACTCCCTGCCAGTACACTTACCCAACAGATTTTCATAGAAGTCATCAATAGCTGCCGCCTTATCCTCATGGTTAGTGCAAATCTGATCACCCACAACAATTTTTCCAATAAAATTCTTTCTTTTCCGGTGACGAGCACGAAGGTGGAAGAGCTTCGTATTTGCATCACCGTCACGGAGCCAACTGATCCTTGAACGCAACCGAGCAATTGTTCGCTGGAGGGATGCTAGAGCTAAGCTGTGCTTTGTCAGGTTGTTTTTAAGCCATAATTCCCCCGGGGATAACTGACGGCTGTCTTGGGCAATCTCAAACTGGTGGAGAATTTCCCTAGCCAAAGCGAGCTGGAAGTTCACCTGACCGACCACTTTGTCGCTCCAGCTCTGTAGTCCTCCGGTGGCAGCCTTAAATTTCTTGTCCAAGGTTATGAAGGGGCAATAACCAGCAGGAATAGAGGCCCAGGCCAAGGAGACGGCTTCCTGAAAACCATCAAGCTTGAGCCAAAAAGACTCAAAGTGAAATCTGCGACGACCCGGATTATTATCCCATAGGCCAAGTAAAAGAGGGCAGTGGTCTGAATCATCCGAAGATAAACTCTGTAGCAGGCAATTAGGAAATTTGTCCTCCCAGTCCACAGTGCAGAGAACTCTATCCAACTTCACCAGAGTAGGGGAAACCTGCTGGTTTGACCATGTAAATTTGCGGCCATGCAATGGAATCTCCTTGAGAGCAAGATCATTGATAAACCTTCTGAAGCGACCCATCATGGCCGTGTTGAGATTAGCATTGTTCTTATCCTCATTCTTATAGATTAAATTGAAATTGCTAGCAATCATCCACGGCCCCGGACATGCTGCTCGAATATCACTTAGTTCCTGCAGAAATTGGATTTTTTCCTCGTTACCTTGTGGCCCATAAACACAGGTTAGCCACCACGCTTGCCCGTCATCAGCGGTAAACTGAATTGTTACACTGTGATTGTCAATCCTCTGAACTCCTGAAACACAGATATGACGTCTCCAGGCAATCAGAATGCCTCCACTAGCTCCAGCAGAGGGGACAGCAGCAAACTCTGAGAAATCAGACCCTAGAGCTGAAAGAACAACCCTTCGAGACATGTTCCTGAACACAAACGATATCCGACCGCGAAGAGTCCACAAGCGAGTGCAAGGAGTCTTGTCTGGAAGAAGAATTTAAGCCCCTTACATTCCAATTCAGAATTTTGGAAGGATCCATTAAGCACAAATTGTCAAAACGACCAAATAAAAGACACACTGATACCTGATGGCTTAAGCCAACATCTCACCACCACCCTCTCCCTCACCAAAATCTTCAGGGAGGGACCAATTGAAAAGTGCAGACAGAGCCTGGAGATGGGAATCAGGGAGAGGCTGCCCAAACAGCTTTGCATAATCATCCAGGGCCTGTTGATTAATACCTTCATGCTCTTCAATGAGTTCTAGAGTCCTCATTGCCTTCTTCTTCGTCCTTCTCCCCAGGTCATTAAGACCAAATTCTGCCTTCACACCAGCTAGACGACGGCTACGCCGTGGGGTGTCACCCGGCGGTAGGGTCTTGCCTCGGCGCTTGTGATGGATGGGGGGGAGGCCTATTGCACGCCGAGCAAGCTTGTTGATGAAGGCAGCCTGGGCATCAGGAAGGGGAGTGGAGCTCTCAGTCGTTAGCGGGATTGCCGAAGGGGCTACCACGTCCAGCGCTAGAGACGGGCGCCCAGACTCAGGATCCAAATCCCCCCCCCCCGGCCAGGGAGGTAGCAGGCTCCTCCACCAAAATAGCTGAGGACGGATCCGTGCAAGCAGCTACCACATCCGCGGCAAGGGGAAGGATAGGGGTTGGAGCCATTGGAGTTGCAGCCATTTCCTCCGCCGGCGAGGCCGTCAAGGATTGAGCTGGCCCACGCGAGCAGTGGTGGGGGCGGCGCCTGGAGTAGACTTGGAGCGGCTCGCTGGGATCTTGGACTGCAGCGGCGAGGTGACCAGAAGGTTGAACTCCGGTATTGGGGACGAAGGAGATTGCGGTGAGGCCGGCTCCTCCGTTGCCTCGTCAGTGGGGAAGAGGAGAGGGGATCGTGGTGAGGCCGAGTAACGCCGTCGCACCAACACAGTCCATCCCGTCCTCATCTACAGGAGTATGCGAGGGACAGGGCCCAGACTTCAAGCCCAAATCCACAACAAGGTTGTCTTCCGAACTCGTTCCGCCACCGGCCCAGGGGAGAGTAAATTCCTTCTCGACTTCAAAGCGCACCCAGGGTGGGCGAGATTACAGAAGGGTCTGCCTCGTCCGAAGAAAAGGCGGCGGCAACAGATGGGCTTCCACCAACCAGCATCTTCAAGACAGAAACAGCGGCCGCTCCCTCGCCCTCGATGATAGGAACGGCCCTTGTAGGAGACTTAATGATGAGGAGCCCGACGCTTGGGAGCTCTCGTGGGACATCAATGGCCGCCTGGGAATCGACAACCGGCTCCGGAAAGGCCGCAGCTAGGCCCCCCCGCAGCCGGTCAGGCCCACGCCCTGCACCGCCAGCACCGGACACGCCGGACGCGCCATCCGTAGCAAGACTTGGGTCAGAGGGTCGTGGTGGCGAAGGAGAGCGTAAATGTCGTCGTCGCTGCGCCGAAGCACCCCGGTCATCGCCGTCCTCCGACGGTGGGGGCGGACCTGCCGCAGAATCATCAGGGCGAAGCGGAACTAAGAATCGAATGACAACATCATAAGCCAACACGCGCTATACTGGCGGCTCCTCCACAACAGCGACCGGCGGCTCAGTGACCCACAACTTCTTGGAACGTGGCATCAGAGAGGGATCCGAGCACCATGCCGAGCAGCGAAAAACAGATAAGTCCGTCAGGTTCAGAGTGTCTGGGTGCACACGCTGAATCGAGGCATGAGGGCTCAGCAATTGTTCCACAGTGGAGGTCTCCCACACATGGGCAGGAATGTCGCGGAGCTCGACGTCGATCAACCATGGCAGAACCTTCCCAGATGCACCCACCAGCCTGCTCCACTTCTTGCACAACAGGCTGAAGTTGGAGGCACGGAGCGGCTGTCGGAGTCCAACCAGAGAATCCACCAAGTCAAGGTTGGGAAGGACTAACAGGTAGCTTGAAGCAGAGGCACGACGAAGCACCAAAGAATTCGCCGCGACATCCAACCGGGCAGCGATCGCCGCCGCAACCACACTCACCTCGGCGAAGGGCTCGTCACCAATGACCGTCACAATCACCGCGTGTGCAAGGTCTTCCTCAACCCTAGCGATGCGGTCAGTCTAGTTGATGATACATGGAAGCTGCTCAGGCGCTGGGGAATTCATAGGAGCCGCTTCTGAGGAGGCTTCATTCAAGGCTTCTGTAGCCGGGGGTGATCCGAAATGCTCCTGGTTTGCACGCCGGTGGAAGCGCGGCCGACGACGCCGGCGTCGCCCCGCCTAGGCATCCAAAACACCTCCAGAATCATGCGCTGTCTTGTCATTGGCCATGCTCGTAGAGCTCCCTTGAGGCGCCGCGGCAGTGCCAGCCACGCCACGCGCCATGCCCGCCGGGAGGGACCGTTGCGGGGGGTTGGCATCAGCCGGCACCGGGATCGGAGAGATGCGCTGCCACACGGAGACTCGCCTTGGCGGAGGGGTAGTGTCATGCCCCACCACAGCCACGTCAGCCACGCCACACGCCATGCCCGCCGGAGAAGACCGTTGCGGGAGGGTAGCGACAGCTGGCGCCTGGCTGTTGGAACCTGCCGCCAAACAGTAACACGCTTCGTCGAAGAGGCCACACCAGTCAGACCAGGGCACACGTAAGATCGATGCCCCAGGAACCTACAGCGGAAGCACCGAGTTCTTTGGCGGCACTGGGCTGCGGAGTGAGCGGTGGAGAAGCAGTTGAAACACTTGCCAACCAGGTCAGCAGGGACTGGACGTCGGGGAGGACAAGCCGCACGCCGGCTATGGCGCTGAACCCCCCGCGACTCAACCTCCTGCCAGCCCTTCGAATCCGGACGACCACGCGGGACGGCAGGACGCTGCTGACAGGAGAGAATGATCTTGGGGGCAGGCCTGGCCCCAACGTCGGCAGCTACCGCGTCGTCCCCTCTAGAAGCCGAACCGCTTGCTGAAACGTGCGCTGCCAAAGCAGCAGACGACGCTAGAGCCAAAGACGAGATTACGATGTCGTGGTAGGAAGGGCAGCCATCAGAGCCAGAGGACCAGAGGCTGTCAAGACTGTCGTCGCTCCAGCATTCTTGCTTAGACCGACCACGCGAGCGGAGGAAGAAGGGCGCTGCATGAGGAGACAAGAGGGAATCGCGCGAGCGGGCGAGGAGGTGGCCGTCACGGCGGAGGAGGTGGCCGCCGGGCTCTGAGTGACCGCCGGCATGGGGTTTGGGGGAGGCGAGACGTCGGGAGGGGAAGGGGTGGGAGATGAAGCCATCGTAATTTAGTTTCTCTAGTTCATCAACATGTCCAAAAGTTCACTTTAGCTATGTCCTAAGTCAAACTTCCTTAACTTTGACCAACCTTTTTAGAAAAAATATATTAACAACTAAAGGTTAAAAAAAATGCACTATCAAGGCAAATTTGATGATGTCATGAAAGATAGATCTTGAATAAGTGTCTATAATTGTGGCTACCTCAAGATGAATAGAATCAGCAACAGATATCTAAGAACATTATAATATGCAAACTAATCTTAGAACGCAGAGAAAACCAAAGCATAACTGGCTAAATTCAATATCGGGATGAATCATGCCGTAATGCACTTTTCATGGCTATACCATATACCTGGACAGGCACGAGGCAGGAGAGCTTCATCCGCACCTTTTGATAAAAGAAGGATCTTACCAATCTGCCCTTCCTTTACCACTACAGACATTCTTTTGCGGTCAGAAGTGAATTCCAAAATGTCCAACAACTCATACCGAAACTTAGACCCATTGAAACAAATCTCTGAAGAAACCGAAGAGAATTCAATCGAACAGCTTAATGAAAGTGTAATAATCTCATCACAATCCAATGAACATCCACTAACCAGCTGTACTGCTGTCTTTACTGATGAGCATCATATTCAGGTTTGCTGCAGCGTTAACTAAAGCTTCCTCATCTTGGGATTGTGCTTTGTATGACACAGTATCATCATTGCTGAAAGTATGAAAATTTTATAAAGAACAGCTTAATATCATGCAGAGTAGAGTAACGAAAAGAAACTGTGACTTGCCTTTTGATAGGAACCACTGTATTGCAAAGAGCCATAACCAACAGAAATTTGATGACATCAGGATCATTACTTGAGATCGCATTTACAAGTCTGACATCTAAGTTGAGAGAATTGTCAGTGGCCAAAAAACAGGTTTGCTTCTGCAACAGTTTGGGCGGCACATTTAGAGCACAAGTTAGGCAATAACAATATCAAAAATGGTAACTCAAAATCCATGATCGCTGCGTGTTGTCCCAGGCTGGAGAAACAATTGATCATTTACTTGTCTCATGTGTATTTGCTTGACAAGTATGGTATATCCTCTTGCAGAAAGTAGGCTTTCAAGATTTAACCCCTCAACCGGAAGATTTTTCCTTTGATGATTGGTGGGCCAAAACAAATGAAAGAGTGGATGGTCAAGTCCATAAAGGTCTCAAGTCCATTATCATCCTTGGAGCATGGGCAATCTGGAATCACCGCAATCGTTGCGTGTTTGATGGGATCTTGCCTAGTTTGAATGGGGTTTTAGAGTTCATCAGGGAGGAACTACTTTTTTGGTGTTTAGCTGGGGCTCGAGGGTTTCACATCTCCTCGCCCTTGGGTTCAGTGATAGTTAGTTTGATGGTCAAGGTTGTTTGCTGTTTGTAGTCATTGGCGAGCCTATTTTTGTGTGAGTGTTCTATATGTGTGGTTGTAGAAAGGATATGGGAAAACACCTCACCCCTAATGAGGGGGGGTGACCTCTATTATATAGCCAATCAGGCTTGATATATATGGAATACAATCAGTGTACATGGAAGGAATGAACAAGCTTCCTAATACACATATATACTTCCTAATACCCGCCCGCAGTCGTAGCGGGAGGATCACGGACGCAAAGACTGGACCGAAACTCAGTGAACAGTGGAGTTGGAAGGCCATTTGTCATGATGTCCGCGAACTGGTGAGAGGACGGCACATGGAGGACCCGGACCTCACCCAAGGCCACCTTCTCACGGATGAAGTGGATGTCAATCTCGATGTGCTTCGTGCGCCGATGATGTACCAGATTGGCTGTCATGTATACTGCACTCACATTATCACAGTAGACAACAGTGGCCGAAGCGAGCGGGACATGAAGCTCCTGGAGAAGTTGGCGCAGCCAGCAACATTCGGCCACAGCATGAGCTACAGCACGATACTCCGCCTCAGCACTGGATCGAGACACCGTGGTTTGGCGCTTGGAGGACCAAGACACTAGGTTGTCGCCGAGGTAGACGTAGAAGCCGGAGGTGGAGCGTCGAGAGTCCGGGCAGCCAGCCCAGTCGGCGTCGGAGTAGGCAGTCAGAGACTGAACAGAGCCTGTGCCGATGTGAAGTCCGGAGGAGAGTGTGCCCTTCACATAGCGCAGGATGCGCTTGATTAGGGCCATATGGGGCTCGCGCGGATCATGCATGAAGAGGCACACCTGCTGAACCGCATATGCCAAATCTGGTCTAGTCAGGGTGAGGTACTGAAGAGCCCCAGCAAGGCTTCGGTACTTAGAGCCGTCCTGGAGCTTGGCGCCGTCCTGTGCCGAGAGCTTAGCATGAGTGTCAATGGGAGTTGCTGTAGAGTGACACTCAGCCATGCCAGCACGCTGAAGAAGATCCAGGGCATACTGTCGCTGAGACAGGAACAGGCCCTGGGAAGAACGCGTCACTGAGATGCCGAGGAAGTGATGCAGGGCTCCAAGATCTGTCATGGCAAACTCGGAGTGCAGGCGGCCCATGATGTGCTGGAGAAGAGTCGTGGACGACGTGGTGAGGACGATGTCATCGACATATAGCAACAGATAGGCGATGCTCGGCCCCTCTTTGTAGACAAAGAAGAACGTGTTGGAGACGGAGGCGACGAAGCCGAGTTGTCGAATGTAGGAGGCGAACCGCTGGTACCACGCCCTTGGTGCCTGCTTTAGTCCATACAAGGACTTCTGGAGGAGACAGACGTGATCTGGAGCGACGGGGTCGACGAAGCCAGGAGGCTCTTGGCGATGAGACGATCTCGGCCGAGATGGCCATGGAGAAATGCGTTCTTCACGTCCAGCTGGTGGATCGGCCAGGCGCGAGAAGCGGCGATGCTGAGGACGGTCCGTATTGTCGCTGGTTTGACAACCGGACTGAAGGTTTCATCGTAGTCGATGCCGTGGCGCTGGGAGAAGCCTCGGACCACCAATGAGCCTTGTCTTGGGCGAGTGACCCATCAGCATGGTATTTATGCCGGAAGATCCACTTGCCCGACACGACATTGGCACCGGGCGGCCGTGGGACGAGGCGCCAAGTGTTCGTTGTCCATCAGAACCTGGAACTCGACCATTGCAGCACGCCAGTTGGTGTCAGCCAAAGCACTGCGATAGTTTGCTGGCAGCGGAGAGGGCGATGATGTCGAAGCCGTCAAGCCTGGTAGGACACCCACGGAATGGCCCGGTCCACGATCCGAGTGGCAGGCGTGGTAGGAAGCGAGGAGGTGGCGACTATGCCAGACCGCAGGGCTGCGGCGCTGAGTGTGCGCAGCGCAGATGGCGGCGGCGAGAGGTGTGGCGGCGGGGCTTTGGTGCCAAGACCATGGGCGGCCTGCTGCAGAGGCGCAAAGCGAATCCGCAACCGCCGGTGGCCGCCTAGTGTAGTGATGAGGCAGGGCGGCACCGGTGATCTGGTAGGCGCTGCAGCGCCGATGGAACCCCAAGCTGCAGGGAGCAGGGCGGCGTCGAAGCGGGCTGGTCTGCGCAGTGGAGGAAGAAGGCGGTGTCCCACCCGCGAGACGGGCGCGGTACACCTCTTGGACCGCGTGCATTGAATGGCGGGTCGTCGTCGGGAAGTTCTTGCAAAACAGCGGGTGATGGCCGCGGCTGTGCAACGTCCGAGGATGGAGCGACCGAGGCAAGAGTAGGAGCAGTAGAGAGGCTCGACAATAGGAAGTCAAGGCGTGACGGGTGAGTAGGGTGGGAGGAGAAAGAAAAAAACGGACTCGTCAAAGACAACATGGCGAGAGATGATGACGCTTGACGGGTGGATAGGTCAAGGCGGCGGTACCCTTTGTGGGATGAAGGGTAACCGAGGAAGACACATCTTTGCAGATCGAGGAGCAAGCTTATGGGCGTCTGCGTGGCGAGAGAGATTAGGATAAGATGAGACAACCGAATACACGCAAGTGAGTATTGGAGAGGGCCGGGAATAGTGTAGTTGGTAGGGAATGTTATTACGAGCAATGAGAACAAAGGCGCTGTTCGGAAGATAGGTGGCGATGGCGAGTGCCTCGGCCCAAGTATGGAAATGACCATGGAGGCATGAATCAGCAGGGTGCGAGTGACATTATTAAGGGTGCGGAGGACACGCTCAGCTTTCCCATTTTGAGGAGAGGTGTAGGGACAGGAGAGGCGTAGGTGGATGCCCCGAGAAGTCAAAAAAGATGTGAGAGTCTTATTGACAAACTCGGTTCCGTTGTCAGCTTGGATGCTGCGAACGGGAAGACTGAACTGTGTAGTGGCATATGCACAGAAGGATGTGATGTGTTTGGTGACTTCAGATTTATCAACAAGAGGAGTCGTCCAGCAGAAATGGGAAAAATCATCCAAAATGACATGGTAGTAGCGGTAACCAGAAATACTAGGTACTGAAGAAGTCCAGACATCACAATGGACTAACTCAAAAGGAGTGGAACTGCGAGAGCTGGAATTAGAGAAAGGTAACCGCACATGTTTCCCTAATTGACATGAATGACATAGAGTGTGACTGTCTTTATTACAAGAAATTGATGCTCGCTGTCTAAGTGTAGTGATGGCAGCAGGACCGGGATGACCGAGACGGAGATGCCACAAAGCTGGATGAGATGGCGAGACCCGGTGAAAAGTCGCAGAGTTGGTAATTTGGAGGAATGGTGTAAAGATCGCGCGGTGCTATTGCAGCGAAGAATCTCGCGTCTGGTCGGAAAATCCTTGTGAGAGAAACCAAAAGCGTCAAACTCTATGGTGCGAGTTATTATCTTTAGTAAACCGACGACGGAAATCAGATTACGAATTAATGAAGGGACAACAAGGATGTTGTTAAGCGAAAAGCCGGAGGTGGGGTGTCTTTGAGGTAGAGTTGCCATGGCACGTGGATTGGAAGGTGTGTCCATTACCTCTGATAATGGAGGAGTGAGATGGAGGGAGGCGGGAAAGAAGAATACCATCCGTAGACGACATGTGACCGGAGGCTCCTGAGTCAACGACCCAGCCACCATTGTGCGGCGCCATCTGGTTCAAGGCAGCGACGAGTCCCGCTTGATCCCAGGTGGGCGCCTGAGGGGGCGCCTGGGCGGGGACGTAGGCAGCGTGGGCCTGCGGGGGTTGGCCGAAGACTAAGGCGTCGGTCATGCCCCATTGCGCCTTATTGTCGACTCTTTGAAACTGGAGCGATGTAGGAGTTGGCGCCAGGACTGAAACAGAACCACGGGCCGGTGGGGCGAGGATTGCCGGATGGGGCCTGGAAGCTGCCGCCGCCGCCCTTCTTGTGCTGCCACCGCTTCTTGCTGCCACCACCGCCGCTGGTGCGGCCGCCGCTGCCGCTGCGGCTGCCGCCATTGTTGCTGCCGCCGCCGGGCAGAACAGGTCCAGCAGGTGGGCAACACCCGCCTGGACAGCCGGAGGAGGACGAAGCATTGCCGGCAAGTAGGGCTGTGGAGTTGGAGACCTTCTCCTCGTTAGCGAGGCGAAGTTCCTTCAGAGCCAGCATGTCCCGCACCTAGTTGAAGGACGGGAAGCCTGTGGCGGAGTTGGCGATGTCATCGGCTGTGGTGGTGAAGCGGGGGTTGAGGCCGCGGAGGAGGTTCAGGACAAGCTGCGAGTCCTGAACGACCGACGTCGCGGAGGCCGTCGGCGAGGGTCTTCATGCGGCCGCAATACTCGGCGATGGTGGAGTCGCCCTGCGTCATGGAGTGGAAATCATGGCTGAGGAAGATCGCCCGGGACTGCCTGTTGGCGCGGAAGAGGCCCTCAATGGCGAGCCAGATGTTCCGAGCGGTCTGGTTGTCATCGGTCATGGCGAGGTCGAGGACGGAGTCGTCGACGGAGCCAAAGAACCAGGAGCGAACGTAGCAGTCCGCCTGATCCCAAGCAGGATCCTGGGGGCGAGGTGGCATCGTGCCATCGATGTGCGACCGGAGGCCGAACTTGCCGCACAAAGACTTGAAGTAGGACGCCCATCTGGAGTAGGCAATGGACTTCATTGTCAGCGTCACGGGAATATGGGACTTGACGTTGACAGTGGCATATGGTTGGACGGTAGGGGAGATGAAGCCATCGCTGCCGGGCGTGGCGCCGGCAGGAACACTAAAGAAAGCGATTGGTGGCGGTCTTGCAACCTGAAGGTGCCACCATTAGCGGCGAGGAGGCGGCATGGCACATGGCCAACAAATAGGGTGTGGGGGCGTGGCCATGGCACACAGCAGAGCGAGAAGAGGAGGGAAAGCGCAGGGAGGAAGGGGAAGAGGGCGCAGGGAGAAAGGAGAAGGCTCAGGATCTAATTAGCTGATACCATGTAGAAAGGATATGGGAAAACACCTCACCCCTAATGAGGGGGGGGGGGTTTGACCTCTATTATATAGCCAATCAGGCTTGATATATATAGAATACAATCAGTGTACATGGAAGGAATGAACAAGCTTCCTAATACACATATATACTTCCTAATAGTGGTGTTGTATGGGTTCTAAACCCCTTTTCTTCTTCTTAATATATTGATTTGCAGCTCTCCTGCATATTCGAGAAAAAAAACTCAAAATCCATGAATAGAATTTATAACACATTTCCAATAGCATCATGGCATTGTGAAGTGCACTAACAGTCTAGGGCACCATTAGAAAACATATATCATGAATTTTAAAGTTGTTACAAAAGTTAAAAAGTCACTGTTGACCGTTCTACATATAAACACCTTAATATTTTTTCTTATACAAAGCTTTGTATAGTATGAATTTCAACTACCATGTTCCATCCCTCCTAATAAAAAAATAGGAGTACATGAAAATTGTTATGTATGACTACCAACTACAGAAAGTGATTTTTTTTTTCTCTCGAACACGCAGTTTAGCTGCATATCATTATATTATGAGGAAAAGGGGAAGACAGCAAGAGTGAGATTCAAGTTGCAGTGAAGTGTGCACTACTGCACTTCCAGTCTCTGAGAATTTCCAGCCACTGAGATGCCACATTTGCGCAAACAAATAGCATGTGTCATGGCCAGGACCCTAACAAGTGGCCTGGTCAGGCTGTAATACTGTACTACTGTTAACAGGTACTGCTCACTCGTAGGAATAGGACCGGTGTTGTATCATGCCCAGCTCAGTCTCCTCTGTTTATAGAGGGCCGATGTACCCTTATCCCCTAATTCCACCTCCCCAATTTCTCATAATCTATACACATAACAAGCATGCTTCATACTAAGCCCTACTAAATAGAGAAAAGAAAACGATAAACATTGTCCCTTAATAGGATGTAAAGAGCATAATGAGTAAGTGGACAACCGTTTAATGCATCTCCGTTGTCATTTCCATACAAAGTACCACTTATGCAGCATCGTTTGAGGATCATTTTGTTCTCTGTCAGTGTCCCAGTTTTGTCACTCAAAATATATTCAACCTGTCCGAGGTCCTCGCTAATAGCTGTGCTGAAGGATACAATTATCTAATAAGCTTTAAGAAATACAGAATCTAGATGCAACAAACTTTAAAGTTTACAGAAACAGATAAATTGCAGCACACACTTAGCTGAATGAGCAGGTGTATTTGTTTCCCAATCAAACATTTGCTCATCCCAATCAATAAACTTTGCATACACACCTTTAGCCAAATCAAGAGTAACCTACAACCAAGAATAAAAAATATTTTAAAATAATAGAGATCGTATAAGTATAGAAAATTATTAACAACAGTATCTGAACTTCTTGAAGTGCCCAAACAATTCATTTACACCTTCAGCTCTTACTTGTAGCATCAAAATTGCACAAGATGGACCTGTTTGATTTCGATCTTCCAACACACATCATCATGTCAGGCATAGTAACAGGAGAAATACATCAAGGAAAAATGCGGGTGAGCTAGAGAAAGTTTGTTCAGCTTCTTCAGCTACAGCTATCCACATAAAACAGCAAAGTAACCTCCAAATTTGACTATTTGTGAATTTGTTTCCAACACTAAAAAGGAACAGTTAACCTATAGTATCTAAATTATAAAAGTAAACCTTGTTGCTTTCAACACTCAGACAGATAACATCTACAGGAATATGATGTCTTGAAATTTTTCTAGTCTCTACAGTCAAAGTATTTGATGATTACACACCACTTAAGTTCTCAACTGAGCAAACATTCGCACAATGAAGAAAGTAGTAGTCCTAAGGGCACCCGCAATGGTTTTTTTTTTTAGTGAAATATACAGCAGGGGAGGCCCCCACTGTGAATTTTATTAAAACCAAAAAGAGAAACAGCACTGTACAAAGGCGACACAGCAAGGGAAGAAGGAGCTACACAAAAAGCAGGCCCTGGGGAGGCAGAAGAACTAGGCTAGAGGGACTATACATGAAAGGAACTCTAGACTTGCTTTACAACATTGAACCTATGAGCTTGAAGCCTAGCTTCTTCACAGAATGAGCTCTTCCAAGAGATAAAAGAAGGCCGATCCCTATCAAAGATGAAGTTATTTCTCTGCTTCCAAATTTGCCATGCCGCAATGGTGAAGAGCTCCATGAAAAAGGGATTCTGAGATTGAGCTTTAGCTTGCTGCATCATCTCGAAAAATTCTCTTGTGAAATCCCAATTAATTCCAAGGTGCTGCCAACAAGTTTGGCTAAAGGGACAGCTGAAGAAAAGATGGAAAGCAGTTTCTTCAATGTTGTTACTGCAGAGGACACAGTTATAGTTATTTCCTTCAAGCTTTTGCTTTTTTCTTTTCAAAATATTTCTTGTATTCAATCTGTCCATGAAGAGCAGCCATGAAAAGACTCTGAGCTTGTTGCAACGTTTGGAATTCCAAATCCAGAGGAAGGGAGCTGGTGGCTATATATTCTTATAAGGAAAGTTATAAAATTTTGAGGAAGAATACACTCTGCTTCCCCATATGTAGTGCCAAGAGTCTTTTGAAATTTGATTGACTTGTAGAGTTTGGATGAAATCTTGCAGACTCTGGAACTCTTGAAAGGCTTGCTCAGAGAGGGGGTGGTAGAATTGAGCCTCCAGGGTATTGTTTGCCAGAAACTTGGCTACAGAAATATTTTTGTGCCTTGCAAAGGAGAAAAGTCATGGGAACCTGGTTTGCAAAATATTATCATTCCAAAGGTCAGACCAAAAGAGGACCGTGGAGCCATCACCAATTTTGCACTCAGCAATTCCCCTGAAGAGGTCACAAAGTTTAAGTACATCTCTCCACCAAAAGGATCCTCTATCAGTAGTTGCATGGGGGACTTGGTCCTGTGGATAGTGGAGCATTCCAAATCAATTTGACCCATGGGATGTCTTTTTTGTTGTAGAACTTGTCCAGATGCTTGAGAAGGAGAGCTTTATTTTGGGTTCTGAGATTGATGATTCCCAGCCCTCCTTTGTTTTTGGGCTTTGAGCACTTTTTCCAGGCAACTAAGGGCTTCATTTTGGCATTGGATTCAGATCCTCTCCAAAGACAGTGGCGTCTTACTCTATCAATATAATCAAGTACTGCTGCTGGAACTTGTAAAGTGCACATGGCAAAGGTGGGCAATGAAGAGAGGACAGAATTAACCAATTGAAGCCTTCCTGCATGTGTCAGAAAGTTTGAGGTGGAAGTGAGCTTCCTTTCTGTTTTACTCATAATAGAACCAAAGTGTTCTACCTGGGGCTTTGTGGTGCCCAATGGCAATCCCAGGTAGGTGAATGGCAAGGATTCCAGCTTACAGCCAAAGACCCGCAATGGTTAGAGCTAGTTACTAGCTCTAAACCAACTTATCCAATAGTGCTAACTTTTAGCACATAGCTTTTAACATGGATAGTCCCACATGACATTCTCACATCACCTTAAAACGTGTGCAAAAGCTTAGCTCTTGATTAAGAGCTAGCTTCTCTCTCTTCTATTAAAATATGAGAAAAATGCTTAGAGCTAGCTTAAAAGCCAATTGTTGGAGCTTCCCTAGATGATGTTACATATTTAAAGAGTTTTGGTCACAGAACAAATTAATGAAGTTACAGTTGAATTTGATCACAATAGTAGTGGCAAACTTGCTGTTTTATCAGACACAATAAAATATGTGCAATTAGTCGGAAAAAAAAAAAAAAAAAAAAACTAGACTAGTGTGCAACACTGTTGTGCGACCTCAACCCTTTGTTGATCTGTCAAGTCTCGAGGGAAGGTTTCGCAAGTTGGACTTTAAAGCAAGCTAGCAGTGCCCACAAGTGGACATGTCTAAGCTTTTTGGCAGGTCCCGGAAAAGGCAGTCTGGCATAATAGTACCAATAATATGTTTCTAGGCCAGTAGCCAGTGTTAAGTGTATACCAAGGCCCATCCTATAGGCCCATATAGCCCATGAGGCTCTCTCTATATATGGTCATCTCCACTAATGGAGGATTCATCTTCTGACATTTCCAAGGTTAGTAACATGGTAACAAAACCATGGATTAGGGTTGGGATTAGAGCTAATCAAATTTTTTAATCCACCCCACGATCCACTCTCCTTCGGGCCGCCGTCGTGGCCGTCTTTCATCAGGTCGCCGTCGCGGCCGTCTTTCATCAGGCCGTCGTCTTCCACGGCTTCGTCCACTTCAGTGTGGCTTCTCCACGCAAGGACGCGCGACTTCGGCCCCTTCACGCATGGGTCCGCGTGGCTTCAGCTCCTTCACGAGCGGATCTTCACGCGCGGCGTGTGTGCGAGCCTGTCTGTCGTCTCTGCAGGGCTGCCGCGGCTTCGTCCGCGACCTGCCTTCCGTCCGCACCATCTCTGCGCAGACGGCGCCCCGCGCCATCCACGCGAGTCGTCGCCCGTCCGCGCACGCCCCCTTCGCCCGTCCGCGCGGACCTGTACTTCGCGGGAGGACAGCACTCGCGAGGATACTTTGTCTCCATCGTCTGCGGCCGGGGTCTTCGTCTGTGTTGCTACTCCAGTTGGCTGTGCACGCACAACACAGTAACCAGAGGCGGTCTGCTTCTGCAACGGTGGTAACTGATCCCTGTTTTCCTCTTCCTGTTGGTCAGCTGTCTCCCCGTTGGTCTCCCTGTTGGTCAGCTGTCAGTAGCCTTTTCAACCATGTCACAGATCCATGCAATTGTTATCAATATTACTCTAGATGGTCAGAACTATCCGGAGTGGGCTTTTTCTGTTGAGACTGCATTAAGGGGCTGTGGTCTTTATTTTCATTTGACTGATGATCCACCTGCTCGTAACCCTGATGGTAGTAACGCTGCTGCTATTAAAACCTGGGAAATCAATGATGGAAAAGTGATGGCAGCCATGGTCAATAGTGTTAAGCAAACTATGATCATGAGTCTTCGTAAGTTTAAGAAAGCTAAACCCATGTGGGGTTATTTGAAGCAACGCTATGTTCAAGATAGTGGTGCTCTAAAGCATACTCTTATGCAATAACTTCATGTCATTGAACAGAAAGATATGCCCATTGATGAGTACTACTCCGCTTTTGATCGCTTGATGGGCTCTTTGATCTCCATGGTACCTCAATATACAGCTGCAGAGAATTGTACAGCACTTACATTCATTGAGCAGTTCCTTACCTACAGATTTGTCATGGGTGTTCGAGCAGAATATGATTCCATTCGCACTCGGTTGCTTCACAATTCCTCTAATATCACTATGGCACAGGCCTTGGCTGATTTACTTGCAGAGGAAACACGTCTTCAGTCCATGTCTGCTTCTTCTGTGCCTCATAGTGTGGTGGCAGCCTCGCAGAGGACTGGTGTACCAAAAGGCACCTCTTTAGAACCTTGCAAGTATTGTGGCAGGACTGGTCATCCTCCAGAAAATTGTTTTGTTCAACATCCACAGAAATTGGCTGAGTATCGTGCTCATCGTGCTGCCTGCGGTCGTGGTACTGGCTCCACTTCTCGAGGTTCAGTTTCTATTGCTGCAGCCTCACCTGTCAGTGCTTCCTCGACATCTTGGGTTCTTGATTCAGGCGCTTGCTTCCATGTGACATCTGATCAGTCCCACTTGGTTGCTTGCAAGTCAGTCACGGATGGTGCTTCTATTCAGACTGCTGATGGTACATCCTGTCCATCACTCATCAGGATTCTCTCTGCAATTCTCATTTTTCTGCACCTGATGTTTCTCTTGTACCTCAGTTGAACATGAATCTTCTATCGGTAGGCCAAATTACTGATCAAAATTGCTTTGTTGGATTTGATGACTCATCTTGTTTCATTCAGGATCGTCGAAGCGGGACTGTGATTGTGACTGGCCATCGCCGTAAAGGTGCTTCTAGCCTCTACGTTTTGGACACCTTGCGCCTTCCTTCTTCAGCTACATCCACGTCTCGTGTGTCGTCCGCTGCATCTTCATCCACCTCGTCCTTCGCCAAGTGGCATCACCGTCTTGGTCGTTTATGTGGGTCCCGTTTGTCAACATTAATAAATAAAGGTTGTCTAGGTCATACATCTGTCGAGTCTAGTTTCCATTGTTAAGGGTTGCAAGCTTGGAAAGCAAATACAGCTTCCATATTCCTCTAGTGTTTCTCTGACTCTGGTGGTGAGTATTTATCTGATATTTTCCGCCAGTTTTTTACCTCTGAGGGCACCCTTGCTCAGCTCTCGTCCTGGCGCACATGCTCAAAATGAGAAACTGCTAGAACACTTCTCATTTCCTCATTTGTTCCCTCTCATTTTTGGGGGGAAGCTGTTTCTACTGCTGTCTATCTCATCAATAGACAGCCCTCATCCAAACTGTTTGGCAAATGTCCTGGTGAAGTACTTTTTGGTACTCCTCCCAACTATGATCATCTTCGAGTCTTTGGATGTACATGTTATGTTTTGCTTGCACCTCGTGAGCAGACCAAGTTGACTGCCCAATCTGTTGAGTGTGTCTTTCTGGGGTATAGTCCTGAGCATAAGGGCTATCGGTGTTATGATCCTACCTCTCGTCGTATACGTATCTCCCGTGATGTGAATTTTATTGAGGATCGCCCTTTCTTTTACAACCCATCTACTAAACCTTCATATTCCCCCACTGAGTCCACCTCCTTTCTTTGTTTTCCTACTAATTCATCTGGAGGTGATGTTCCTGCACCATCCTCCTCCACTCCACCTCATGTGATATCTACACATGAGAGTCCAGATCCACCTCCACCTCCATCTAAACCGCCCATTACATAGGTTTACACTCGTCGTCCCAAAGGTCCCACTGATCCTTCATCTACCTCTACCACCCTGGCCAGACCTGACGATCCTGTTGTCGATGTTTCTAATGTTGCTAATGAGTCACAAGCTTTATCTGATGAGTTACAGGTTGGTCCAAGATATAATCTTCGGGATCGCACTACTATTGGGCCTGCTGACAAGTATGGTTTTCCATGTGTGAATGCTGTTGTTAATGAACCCTCCACATATCAGGAAGCTTGCCGCATCCCTGAATGGCAGCTTGCAATGTGTGAGGAGCTTGCTGCCCTTGCTCGTCAAGGGACTTGGGATCTTGTTCCATTACCATCACATGCAGTACCAATAACATCTAAGTGGGTGTTCAAGATTAAAAGAAAGTCTGATGGTTCTATAGAGAGAGATAAAGCTAGACTTGTTGCTAGAGGTTTCCAACAGGCTCAAGGACGTGATTATGATGAGACATTTGCACCCGTTGCTCATATGACTACCGTTCGTACTCTGATTGCAGTGGCTGCCACTTCGAATTGGGCTATCTCTCAGATGGATGTTAAGAATGCTTTTCTTCATGGTGACTTGAATGAAGAAGTTTACATGCAGCCACCTCCAGGTGTTAATGCTCCCTTAGGATATGTTTGTCGTCTTCGTCGTGCCTTATATGGTCTCAAACAGGCTCCTCGTGCTTGGTTTGAGAGATTTGTTTCTGTGATACGAGCTGCTGGTTTTTCACCTAGTGCTCATGATCCTGATCTATTTATTCACCTCTCTTCACGTGGGCGTACCTTGCTCCTTCTATATGTTGACGACATTTTAATTACAGGAGATGATGTGGAACATATTTCCCATGTGAAGAAGCAACTTGGTGTGCAATTTCAAATGTCTGATTTGGGTCCTCTCAGTTATTTCTTGGGCATTGAGGTTTCACATTCTGCCAATGGCTATTATCTCTCTCAGTCAAAATATATCCAAGACCTTATTGTTCGTTCGGGCATTACTGATAATCGCACGGCTGCAACACCTATGGATATGCACTTGCAACTTCGTGCTACTGATGGAACGCCTCTTGAGGATCCTTCTCGCTATCGGCATATTGTGGGCAGCCTTGTTTACCTTACTGTTACTCGACCTGACATTGCTCATGCTGTTCACATTCTAAGTCAGTTTGTGAGTGCTCCTACTTCTGTTCATTTTGGTCATTTGCTTCGTGTACTACGATACTTAAGGGGGACATCATCTCGATGCTTGTTTTATGCTTGCGATAGTCCACTTCAGCTTCATGCTTACTCGGACTCCACTTGGGCAAGTGATCCCACGGATCGCCACTCTATCACAGGCTATTGCATTCTTCTTGGTTCTCCTCTTGCTTGGAAGTCCAAGAAACAAGCTGTTGTGTCTCGCTCTAGTACAGAAGCAGAACTTCGAGCACTTGCTACTACCACTGCTGAGATTGTATGGCTTCGATGGTTACTCGCTGATTTTAGTATTTCTTGTGATGCCCCTACACCTCTTTTGTGTGATAACACTGGAGCCATACAAATCGCCAATGATCCTGTCAAACATGAGCTTACTAAGCATATTGGTGTTGATGCCTTCTTCACCCGTTCTCACTGTCATCAGAAGACAATTGATCTACAGTATGTACCCTCTGAGTTGCAACTGGCTGATTTTTTCACTAAAGCCAAGACTCGAGAGCAACATCGGCTTCATTTGATCAAACTCAATGCTTCAGATCCTCCGCTTCCACCTTGAGTTTGAAGGGGGGTGTTAAGTGTATATCAAGGCCCATCCTATAGGCCCATATAGCCCATGAGGCTCTCTCTATATATGGTCATCTCCACTAATGGAGGATTCATCTTCTGTCATTTCCAAGGTTAGTAACAGCCAGAAGGAGCTCAACAAGGCACTAAACCTAGGCTATGGCAGCTTTCCGCTTCCAGTAGGGATGTTGTCTAAGCCCATCAAGTCTATTTGTTCAATCATGTTAGGTGTATTAGTCAATATAAAAATCTTGTACATGCAGTATCCCTACAGAAAAAAAATAATATTCTATATGAAATAAAATTGACAACCAAACAGTATAACAAATTGTACAGTAACTTTTAATATGGTGTATTGGTGTACATTAGAATAAGGACATGCTTTGTTTTTGGCCCTAGCAGGCCATGCCAAACAAATTAGGTCATCATTTGGTTGAAGGGCAGAAAAAAATTTGGAATGACCAGCCATTCCAGGCGCCCAAATTGCTGGCCCGAGCTACCCAAGAAGCCAAATTGCGCCAAAGGACTAGCCCAAGTGATTAGGGAATTCCGGCGGCACCCCTCAGGTCCTGAGTTCGATTCCCCGTGGGAGCGAATTTCAGGCTGGGGGTAAAAAAATCCCCTTGCCCGTCCCCAAAAGCCAAAGTGCAGAACGGCTCGGCCCGGTTCTCACAGGGCAATGGATTCCGCTGCGTCAGGATGGGGGCTGGGGTTCAGGGGTTTTCTCGATCTGTGTGAGAAGATCATCCTTCTTAAAAAATACCCGGGGGCCCTCATACCCTCCGCAGATCGAGTTTTTTTTAAGAAGCCAAATTGCATGCCAACCTGACGTGGCAGAGATTGGTGGTACCCCTAGCGTTGATTGCTTCATTTCTAAAATTGCATTGATTATACCAGTTGAACCATGACTCTAATATATAATCCGATTTCACAGTAGTACTCCATGCAATTGAATCACCAAATCAAGATCCATATTACCTATCAGTTATTAAATTATTTTTGAAACATGTGAGCCACATGTCATACTCAAACAATGGTTTGTTAATCCTCCTAGCATTTTGGCATGGTTCTAATCCGAACATCTTGTATATGACCAAATTTTGGCAATGCCTAACTTGGCCACTGCCAAATTTTGGCTTGATACACTGGAGGCGAAAACCAAACAGGACTAACAAACAAAGAAAGAGTTAGCAACAATTCAACCTGCAAGCATACCTTTATGGAGATCGGAATCATTATGGAGCACAACAGCTCAAAGCGTAACAGGATAATCGAGAAATCATACCATGGGGCCTCTCCCTCCACAGGATACATAAGATACCATTGCTACATAAAGAAAATGACATATCAGATCACAGAATACAGATGACATAACTATATATTCAATTCCTTATAGATGAAATCATCTACATCACAAAATACAATAGCAAGTGCCCATGAGAGGGTACAACAACATGCATGCAAATTACAGTGAATTTTCTGCATCAGAACACTGATTATCAAAAAGATATAGCACCTTAAGCCCCTGAGTGTACTTCCAAGCATTCCCAAAATAACCCAGAACAAGTACAACAACAATTTGGAACATGAATATTGCAATAGTGAGCTTGTCTATTATTGCATCAGCAGCAGTGAGCTTGGGCTCTGCAGCTCCCCTACTCATTCCAGATTTGGTTTCATTGCCTGCAATGGATGATTGGTGGGTTAACCATGCCGCTACAATGTTTTCAGGTCCGCTACATGCAAACAAATGATTCGGCACAATAAGTAAGGCATCATGTATCATATTCTGTATTTACCTGTGTAAACTGCAACTCCACAAGCCCATTCAGTGTACCGTAGGTAACATGACTGAAGAAGTGTATTGTTGATAGTCAAAGGACATTTTTCATTGTCAATTATAGGGAGGAACAAGCGCATGTTAGCATCAAATCTTCGTATGTCATTATCTGGGTTGGGGCACTCAACTACACCCTGCACAAATTAAACAGAAGTAATCAGAAAAATAAGAAATATCAAAGGAGAAGTGCAGAAAGACTCACCTTGACTTTTCCTAGCTGCTCTACTGACAAGTTAGCAGAAATTGTAGGAATGATTCTTGTTTTCAAGTCAGTTTCACCATCCAAAGCAGCAGTCTGGAGTGACAATGGGAAACACAGTTAGGCATCAACTACGTTAACAGCAATTGATAAGAAGTTTCCTTCATTTCCCAGAACATTGGCTACAATACAAGCAACACAGTGCCATGGGCTGGGAGTTGAAAATTATGTCTGTAACATCAAACAATCGATCCAGTGTATTAATAAGTCACCCCCAGGGGGTGGGGGTGGAGGTGAAGGATTCTCAACTGTATTTCTGATGAAGGCTTTTAAAGATTTTAACAGGAATAAATGTTTTGGCACGACATAGCCAAGTTCAGGCTTCAAGGTCTATACTCAGCATCAAAGAAAGTACCAAGCATTAATGAAATGCCACAAAACATGACAGTTCAGCATAATAATAGAATAATACCAAAAAAATATTCCTAACTCTTGGATTCTCCATGCAGAGCTCCAACCCATTGGAGCAGGTGTGGGACAATAATCTGTAACACTCTCTATGAACTTTGCTATGCTCATCCATTCTTGAACCTGTCATATCTGACCTTTAACTCTTAGTAGCAGTCCTGACTTTGAAAATTCATGTACCGCCATGTCAATGACACATTGGCTTCTGGCAGGGGAGAAGAAACTGATGTCATGATGGAAAATTGGAGAAGCATTTTTTGCAGGGAAGGGGGTAAAGCAAACAGAAGTTCTGGGAACTTCACCACGTGATAGGAATTGGTTGTCCTTGGTTTCTAAGTTGAGGTAATGGAATCAAGTTCAGATTATGCAGTGGGATCAGAATATGCATCCATGGAAAATCTGTAGTTCATTGTGATATGATCAGGCGTAAGGTTAGGGCAATCTCTATAATAGTTTTTGTGCAGCTCTTTGACCTCTTTGCTGTACTCACGGTTCAAAAAAAAGGTTAGGGCAATCTAGAGGTAAATTCATCACAGGACAGTCAGGTTCAGCTTGTGTTTTACATAAGTTCATTACTTTGTCAAGGCAATGGCTACGACCATCTCAGAAAATTATAAGAACTCCTATAATAGTATGTCTCTACGTTCAACAAACAAACATATGTACTGCTGCTTGTGGGTAATTTCGTTTTGCCTTGCTTGTGTTCCAAAGACGAGTGTGTTTTATGTAAATTTGTCAGTGTGTTGGGCTTGTACAGGTTCTAAACCCCTTTCTTTCTTCTTAGGCCCCGTTTGGCAGGGCTTCACTTCACTAGTGAAGCCATTTTTTTTTTGCTTCAGCTCCATGAACAGTTCCACCGGTGGAGCTGAAGCGGTTTTGGTAAACCGTTTGGCAAAATGGCTTCCCTGTGAGAGCATGTTTTTAGGGGCCTGGAGGAGGAGCCGGGAGAAGCCACTTTTTTTGGCTCCATCCCACCCCAAATCATTGTGAGAGCATGTTTTTAGGGGCTTCACCAGTGAAGCTATTTCACTTTACCCCGTTTGGCAGAAAACGGTTCCAAACGGCTCCTGAAGCTGGTGGAGAAGCCCTGCCAAACGGGGCCTTAATATAATGATTCGCAGCTCTCCTGCATGTTCAAGAAAAAAATCATTTACCTCAACATAACAAATGCCTTGAGGATCAGAAGTCCCTATGAGAACAAGATCACATGGTATCTCGTCATTCTCATGGAGCCACACTACATCTCCAACATGTATCTCCTGTGCTTTGATCTACAGAACAAAAGCACATTGAAATATTCCAATAATAAATCCAAGTAATCCCATATGCATCATTAGAAAATACAGATATAGTTGTACGTTTTGGTGATGAAGAAAACTACAGGAACAATACAACTTTTTACTCATCCACATTCATCAATACTCTGATCATTCCATATACCAGTGCTATTAGACCACTTGGTTTTTAGAATATATTACAGCATACCAATTCCAACACGTAAAAAGCAAAAGGCAAAAGTCCAAATTACTCCCTCCAAGTTTGGCCTTTGTCCAGATAACCCCCTAAACTAACATTTGGTTCAATTTACTCCCTCCAACTATTTAAGTTGGTCCAATTTACACCTTAAAAGATTTTCCTTTTTTGTTTCTCTATTACAAATTGTGTTTTAGTTTCAAATTTTGTGATAGAGTCATAGAGGACATCATATTTTGTGTATGTTGTGTACGATATTGTATCTCAAGTGTTAATTTATTATTAAATTTCCTAAGCTATCAAAATAGTGTCAAAAATTTAAGATATATTTTTCTAACATAACTTATGATGTTCTCTGTCACATCACAAAATTTGATATTAAACTGTGACCTAAACCCTAAACACGATAAGCTGCTAGGCCTGGCAAACAATGTTCTGTGAATGGCTTACATCTTACTGGTGACCTTTAGGCAAAAATGAATTTTTGGTGCAGACCGGTGACCTAAACACGATAAGCTGCTAGGCCTGGCAAACAATGTTCTGTGAATGGCTTACATCTTACTCCATTCCAAATTATAAGACATTTTGGCTTTTCTAGATACATAGTTTTTGCTATGTACTTAGATATACATTATGTCTAGATGCATAGTAAAAGCAATGAATTTAGAAAAGCCAAAACGTCTTATAATTTAGAACGGAGGGAGTACAATAGATCAAGAAGGCCATATTTTCAATGAAGTTAAAGCAAATTAGATGGAGAAAAGAAAAAAACCTGTCTATGGATGCCATCCTTTACCAGCCATATTTTCCTTTCATTTGCTTTCTTGTCAGAAAGATACCTATTGTAATCATCCCAAGCCTCTTTTGAAGCAGAAACAATGAAGATGATGATAAGTGGACCCCATGTAGTTGCAGGACTGACAGGAGTAATACAGGACCACAACTGGAGGCAGGCTATTAGTAGAAAATACTGATTCATGAAACGCCTGAAATACTTAGAGAAATGAAAAGAAATTAAAATTCTGATGGAACTGAAATTCATTAGTCAAACAGAAAGAATGAGTTCCTGCAGGTCCTTTGACCAAGTGACCAAGAAGCCTTTTGTCTCAAGTTGCAAATAAGAGCGGTCCTTTGACCAAAAAGCATTTTGTCTCATGTTGCAAATAAGAGCACCATATTCAGTGTGAAAGCTATCTAGAAGTTCTCGAACCAGTTAATTACAAAATAAGTAAACTATTTATGGTTAGTATGCATCTTTATCTAGTGCGAAGGGCGGGCCTAGTGCAAGCGGTAGAGTCTTACTGCCTATGACCGGAAGGTCCCGGGTTCGAGTCGTGGTCTCCTCGCATTGCACAGGCGAGGGTAAGGCTTGCCACTAACACCCTTCCCCAGACCCCACACAGAGCGGGAGCTATCTGCACTGGGTACGTCCTTTATGCATCTTTATCTAGTGCACTGATACTAATTTAGTCCTTCAGGCAAGATGACACTGAAAATTTTCATATGCAGACGCAAGCATGGTTGATGCATTGTACATATAATAAAACTCATTAAGCAACATGGTACTAGAATTGCAGCTTCCATCAAATGGCAGGAATAATGTTTTATGTTAGACCCCCTCCAGTCATTTAGGTTGAAGGAAGTGCCCTAAAAAGTGGATAAACTGCAACTACCTTAGGTGCTGAAGCAATGAAACGGCTAAGATGGAGATGGAACTACTTTATTGCCAACAAGTGAAGAACAGATACAAACCTGAATTGCTCCCATAAATTTTTCGGGAGAAAATTCCAGAGAGTATACTTGGTATTGGATATCCGATTGCCACAGTAGGAATACCGGCACGAATCATCATTGATATAGACAAAACGTTTCATTGTTTCCCAAGATGTCACTTCTGTGCCATTGCGAGCTTTGAATCACTCTGATGAAGAAACCGTGCAGGGGCGGGCCGAATAAAGGACATGGGTGTACACATGTGCACCCGATAATTTTTGGCAAAAAAAAAGAACAAGTTAGTAGGCACAATACATACATGTATACACTCGTAATTAGATAAGATCCGATCCGATAGCCAGATAGCTTAAATTAGGGTTCGGATTCTCAGTTTTGCACAGGAGGAAGGAGGGTAGGGGCAGGCATACCTGGTGTTCGGATGCTCAGTAGCCAGATAGCTTAAATTAGGGTTCGGATGCTCAGTGCTCGTCGCCGGCAAAGGGCCCGACGATTCGACGAAGACCTAGGCAGTTCGGAGTAGTGCGGCGGCGGTTGCTTGCACTGATGCTAGCCCTGGACCCGTACGGTCGAGAAACCTGGCCCCGGCGGAAACGGTCGAATCGCGTCGGTCTCCGGCAGGCGCGGTGAACCGGAGAACAGCAGCAAATAGGTGTGACCGCACCGCAGTCCGCAGGAGAGCGGGCCATTGGACTGTTTTATCCTTTTCATTTCTTTTTCTGCAGGCACAATGACTACACATATTTTTTCGATAAGGAGGCTTGAGATGATACAAGGATATTCAAACGCTCTCGATCCCTGCATAATTAGGATGCACACAGCCTTACAAAGTTTTATAAGGTTCAGACACACTAATAATACTCAATTTGTAAACTAAAATATCACCCATATGTCTGGATAAAAAACTTCTTAGCCACACATGCCAAATGTTGAAACCTCGTTGCAACCAAATCTTATGATATTGGCTTTTGTAGGATGGCCCATGTACCAAGCCAGTGCATAACCGAGTATGTAACCTGCAAAGAGAGAATTTCGTTTCTTTTCAAAAATAGATCATTTGTACGTAACCATAACGACCAACACGTAGTTGCTGCTGCTCCTAGCCAAGCTAACGATTTCAAATCTTTACGAAGACCCCATAACCAAGTTTCAAACATACTAGACACACTATGTAGTTGAGATAAGTGTGAAGCCGCTTGAATGACAAACCAAACAGCATGAGCAAAGTGGCATTTAAAGAAAAGGTGTGTAATTCTCTTATCTTTATGACAAAAATAATATTGTTTGCTACCTTGCTAATTGCGTTTAACTAAATTATCTTTGGTTAACACTACGCCCCTACGTAGGTATCACAAAAGACCTTGATTTTCTATGGAGCTTTTATTTTTCATAAGTGTTTATTAATGTTAGGAATATCATTATGCGTCATAGCCAGGTAATTGGATTTAACCAAGAATTATCCTTTAGGATGTGGGTTCTAGCGAAATACATCTTCTTCCTGGCTTAACACAATATTAGTGATGGGAGGGAGTAAATCATTCCAAGCCACTAATTTATGTCCAATTAGGTCCCTTTGCCATGAGATAGAAGGTGGTGAGGTGTTTAACACTTCTGCTACAGTATCCTATTTATGATGGGCTGTGTAATAAAGGCAAGGGTATTGCTCGTGTAGAGTTGTTTGTCCTAACCATCTATCTTCCCAGAATCTGAACTGTGAGCTATCTTTAATTATGAAGGTTCCAAAATGGAGAAAATCTCGTTTACCTTTCATAAAGCTAGCCCAAAAATATGAGTCCACGTTCTTCCATTGAACTTGAGAGAGAGGCTTAGATTCTAAATATTTGTTGCGTAGTATTTGTTGCCAAGTACCATCTATTGTGGTCAGCTTAAAAAGCGACGTAATGAGAAGAGCTATGTTCTTGATGTCGAGGTTATGAATTCCAAGCCCACCTTGATCTTTGGGTTGGCATATGATATCTCATTTGGCTGAGTTTGTATTTCCTTATTTGTTCGTCGCTTTACCAAAAGAACCCTAATTAAAAGTAATCTAGTTTCCTGAGAACTTCTCCTGGGATTACAAAAAAGGACATCATACATAGGTAAGCTGCTAAGTATTGAGTTAATTAGTGTTAGGCGCCCACCAATTAACAGATGTTTTTTTCTTTCCAACTACTTAGTCTCTTTTCAAAACGTTCTTCTACTCTTCTCCAATCTGCATTTGATAGCCTCCTATAGTGTATAGGTATGCCCAAATACCTCATAGGAAAATCTCCTTGGTTACAGCCGAATAGTTCAGTATATCGTGACATTACTTCTTGTGCTGCCCCAAAACAAAAGATTTCACTCTTATGGAAATTTATTTTAAGCCCCAAAAGTTGTTCGAACGCACAAAGCAATAACCTCATGTTGCGATCCTTTTTAAGGCCATGGTCCATAAAGAGTAATGTATCATGGGCATACTGTAGAATAGATAAGCCCCCATCAACAAGATGTGGCACTATTCCACTCACCTGATCATCTATCTTGGCTTTTTTAATTAGTACCGCTAGTATATTAGCTAAGATGTTAAACAGAATGGAAGATAATGGATCCTCTGTCGAAGACCTTTCTTCGTTTGAAAATAAGGGCCGACTTCATCATTAAACTACTAGAAATATCCACTTCTATGACGAACAGATTTCGTCATTGAAGGAGCCAAATTCATCATAATTTTAGTTTTATGACGAATTTATGATGAAAAACGATTCATCATAGAAGTCGCGTCATTCTTGAAATTCTATGACGATTCTAGAAATTCATCATAGATTTGGATAGATCTATGATGAAATTTAAACGTCATAGAACTGCTTTGGCATGCGTGGCAGGGACAGCCACGCTGGCGGGTGCTTCCGTTAGAGATGCTTTTCACTTGTACATGCTATAGCCGGTTGCATTGGAGATGGTTCGAGTATGTGTCACCTTCTTATTGCACAACGTAGCCATTTCTGGTTCTTGCACGTTTCAGGTTCTTACTGGACCACATATCGGGACCCTATTGTTCCACATGTCAATTTTCTATTGACACATGTGTCGTGTTGCGGTTGGGTCACGTGTCACTTTTTCATTGGACCATGTGTTGTATTTTTATTGGTCCACGTGGCGTGACCATAATACCCCGCGTGTCTTTCTTTTACTCGACTAGGTGTCTCGATGTTGTACGTCCGCGTGTTAGTATTTTATTGGGCCACGTGTCGCGTCCTAAGCTATCCATGTGTCTTTTTCTGATTCGACCACATGGTAGGACAGATTTATACCACGTATTTTTTTGTATTGGCCCACGTGCCCTGACGTGGCTCTTACACATATCATTCACTGGTTGGTCCACATATGAGATTCTTATTTAACAATGTGCCTATGACGGATCTATCACGTGCACACCAATCATTATATCAGAGAAAATGATTTTAGATCTATACTGCTGCACAAAATGACTACATGCATAATTATATTGAACCTGAATCAAATAACAGCAATTCAGCTCAGCAGCATACCACTAACAGAGTTCACATATCAATCCAACAAAAATTCATATCAAAACAGCAAACAAACAACATATTCACTACATCAACAAGACTGAGAATTACTAGCGCTTAAGAGCACGATATGCTCACGAAGCTTATTGTACTACTCTTGTTGCTGTTTCTTTAACTCTTTAAACTCCTTATCAGTGTTTTCTGTCTTCCTCTTCAGTTGATCCACCTGTTCCGCGAGGACAGCTGAACTTTTCTGATAAGTAGCAAGCCATTTCCAAAGTCTGGAGCAGCTTGTCCTAATACCAGCATTCTTTAAAGAAAAGGTGTTGCAGCTGGTCTGGGAGAGGACCTTGGAAACAACATCAACAACAGGTTCTGCTCGTATAGTTTCTATAGCTTCCTACAAAAACCAAGAAGTAAACATTAGGAAGAGAACTTAAATTGCAGAACCAAGAGATTATTTCATTACAAGTAATACATAGGTCTTCCTCAGCCTACTGCTGACTGAGATTCATAAGTGCAATACATAGGTAACATATTAATTGTTGTAATATTACAACTTCAAAATGATGGTGCCACTTTAGGCTCCTCCTACTTTTTCTTCTTTTATGCCAATGGCTTCAGCAGATTTCAAAGAAAGCAAATGAAGGTACTTACCACTGCTTCTCTTATAGCATCGCTCAGTCCCATGTTGCTACTGGTATGAAGTTGTTGAAGATTTGCACTACATCAACATCTTCATGAGTTCGATCATGTTCTTCAACGAGTACTTCTTGATCGTGTCATGCGTCCTTCCTGTTTTTGTCCTTCTGTTAAAATTGCATATGCCTTTCTATTGATACAAAAGGCATTGTGTATTTGATATAAAAAGAGTAACACAACCATCACTTACATATGCTTGCAGGTGAGCAATATAGGAGCGAGATCATGTAATCTGGTGGCACTTGACTTTTGCACGGTTTCGCTTGTTCTCCTCCGAGACTGCCTATAATCACAATTTTGTTAGACTACAGCACAAGTAGACCACATAAAGACTAGATAAGAAATAAATGAGTTCACACACACACACCCCTTGTTCTTGGATTTAACCATATGTGGACAAGTGCACACCACTATGTGTCATTCATGCAAGACACAGGAGAGGTCTTTCTGATTTCATCAACGGGGGACGCCGTTGAAGTAAGATCATTTAAACCTATACCGTGTCTGTTGTACAATAGATTGGAATACACTCGTGCATGCTTCTTTTGTTGCTTCATCATTGTCATCAATGGCCAGCCTCAACTGCAGAAGTGTGAATACAAATTAAATCCATTACTAAGTTGCTCAAGACAGAGTTGAATGTTAGTAGAGGATATACATACTTACAGATAGCTTGGCCACAAATCCATTGAGATGTTTGATCCGTTGCTTGTAATGTTTCTAGTGTGGGAAAATTGGTACTTGAGACCTGACTACTACACCTGCCTCTAAGGCAAACTTGGTAGCTTGCAATGGATCTTGTGGCCTTCTATTCCCTTTGACAACCGAGATGGGCATCCTTGTTCCCATTGATTGGGTGGTTTTGTGAAAGCCCAACCCCCTTAGTTGCTTGCCTCAATTTCCTCGCTCTTCTCTGCAATGGTACTACA